ATAATATTTTTAAATAGTTATTATCTTTCAAAATTGTCCAAACTCGTCTAAACTCATTTAAATAATAAATTAACTAGATGGGCTAAAAATATAATTCAGTTCATGTCATAATTTTTTTAATAGGATCTAATATATGTTTTTCAAGCGCTTAATTAGTCTTATATGAGAATGTATATTTTTTAAAACAACATTTTTTTTATAACCATTGATTAAAAAAAGTATCCTATATAGTAAATGATATAACGATAATAATTTTAAAGAAATTTGTAACATAAAAAACATTAATTCTAAAATAGCTTAACTATAAAAAAAAATAGTTCTATTTTTGTTAAAATTAATGTGTCACAAATAAAAAATAAGAATGATATTAAGTAATATTATTTTAATTTGTGAACATCAACATAATTTGGTTTTAATAAATTCAAATCAACTAGTCACTAAAAAGAAAATCAGATGAAGTTAATCTCTACTTTACGTATTCCTAATCTTAATATTTTTCTGAAATGGTGGAATGAATGATTTCATTTTTAATTTCACTTTCCAATATGTCACAAATTTAATATGATAAAAAATTAAGTTTTTCAGTTACATTCATTTTTTAATCAGAATAAATATTATTTATTTATTTTTCTTACCTACTCTTTCATTCCACAAAGAAAAAAAATTATTCACTTTTTTTATTTGTTTAAATAATATATTTTCCCATCATTTCTGCTTTTTATTTCTTAATTTCTTTCCCTATTTCATTTCTAATCTAAAAAAATTAAAAAGTATTTGTAATATAAATCTTTAAATATATTAATTAATAAACATATATATATATATATATATATAATCTTAAAATATTATTAATACTATTACTATTTTTACTCAAAAGAGTTTTTTTTATCAAAATTAAACTTTTAATGACTCAATATATTTTTTGAATAAGTAGTTTTTATCACAAATAATTAAATAAATAATCTGAAATTAGACCTAAATTAAATATAAATTAAGTCATGCATATGATTAAGTCTTTCTCTCTCTCTCTCTCTCTCTATATATATTTTTTTTTCTGTTACAATTTTTTAATATTTTATTATTTCTTATATGCCACCTCTAGGAATTAAAATACTGTCTGTTAGTACATGTTTTTATTTTGAATTTAGAAGAAAGGAAAAAAATTCTTTTTTATTCATTATTAAATTAATAATTTTAAAAAATCATTAATGGACATATGTTTTTGGGTAAAATTTTATTAAATGATATGATATTTGATTTTTATTCAAAGAATCTCATTTATTATTTAATAAAAACTCAAACAAATATGTTTAATAATAGAAAACAAAAAAAAATCAACGCCAATACATTTTGTTTTTGCTTATTTGACTATATTCTTTATTATTAGAAAGGTACCAAATTCATCACCCAGCGGTGACACCAGACGAGGAAAGTCAGCACTGCATTGTGACATCTATTACATAAATTACTGGACCCACTTGATTTGACACGTGTCATATTATTACTGTACTGTGATGAGCTATTCCATAACAGCCTGATACGGTAGCACTCCGTGTGCCTGTGTTCGTGTGTGACTGTGCACTCTCTTACACTGCACCACCCCTCGCGCTCTCCGTCTAAATAGCTTCCACTTTCTGGTCATTCTTCTTCCTGCGCATTCTGCAAAATCGAATCTCATGTGTCTGAATCTGAATCTCTATACAATCTTGTTGTTCCCAACACGGTAATCTCTCTCCCCTTCCCTTTCTGTCTCAAAATTCTCTTCCATGTTGGTTTTTAACTTTTTTTTGTGTGTTTTTAGGATCGAACTCATGTGAGGGATTTTTCTGGGGTGTGTTTTATTATTAATTATTTTAGAAAATGAAGGAAAAATTAAATGGGGGATGAAGAAAATTTGATTTTGTTTCCTCAGGTTGAGGTTAAACCCTTGTTGGATTGTGGTGCAACCGTGTAAGGGTATTTTTTTTTTTTTTTCGATTTTCGAACAAATTCATGAGCTGAAGTTTAGAATGGTTTCCGGAAGGAAAAAGACGAAACGGAAAAGGAAAAAATTGTTCTTTTTTTTAGGTTATATGCCCAGATTTTGGTGCTGTTGTAGTGTTTTTATTTATTTTTTGTTTTTTTATCAGTATGTTTTAGTGTTAATTGGCTCGTGTTTCGTGGTTATATGAAATTTATTTACAGGTTTTTGCTTTTGCTGCCAAGGTTACAGCACTGAGAGAGGTTTGATGCCAGAAACTTTTCTCCCTTGCAATTGGATTTATTTTTTTAGTGAATAACCATTTGTGTGCCTTAGGTGTCTTTGTTGATTCCTGTAATCCATATCCATATTTTCTTTTGCTTGAATTACTTATAATTTAGTACATAAACTTTTCTCTTTTAATGTTTCGTTCTATGATATTGAGTAGATTTGCATTTGAGCTATGTTGTATTCCCAATCCCTTTTTATATGCAGGCTTTCTCTTGTAATACTTGTCTGTTTAGTGTTTACTATTCTATTGTTTGAAGCTTGTCTTTTTGTTGAGTTTTGGGGGGAAATGGAGATGAGCTCTTCCATGTGAGTGATAATTGAATTTATGATTTTAGCAGTCTTATCCATTCTAAAAGAATTAACCACCATAGGAAAATCTGAACTCTAGTTATTTTTGTCATATTTTAGCTGTTAATGCTAAAAACCTAGTTCAGAAAAATACTCACAATTGAAATATAGATTCTTTCTGCCTTAGATTAAGTATATTTCCATTTATGAAGCTTCTCTTCACTTTGTTTGGATATTCATTGAAATACGGAGAAAATAAATAGAATGGAATGAAATAAAGAGGATAGAAATTGAGATGAATTAAAGTGGAACTTCAAAGTTGCTTGGATTGATGGAACTAGGAAGGAATGAGAGGAAATTATTTCTTTTTAATTATTTGGTTAGATTGAAAAGTAAATAAACATAAAGATAAAATATAAGTTTGACAATTTTAGCTTATTTTACCTAAACACTGTAAGTTCTAAAAATTGTAGCCAGCATATTATTTTTGCATATTCTGTTAAGGAGTTCAATTACTGGGAAAAAAGGTCAAGAATATTGCCATCCTTTGCCGGCGGCTCAACCACTATGTATTATAAATTTCTACTACAATATTATGACTGTTTTTAAAATCAATTTTGTAAACTGTTTTCAAAGAATGTTTTTATTTTTGGTTTTTAATAACTAAAAAAAATCAAAACTGATAAAAGGTGTTTAATATCTACGTCTTCACCAATAGTTGCACTATACCGTCCATCTTCACCAACATGAAGTAATAAAAATCAATTTCCAATTTTTGCCTGACTTTTCATCACTGTTGTTGTTGTTGTCATCCTCTTTAGTTTAAAACAATTTTCAAACTTGATTTATCAAACAAGAATTTTTTTTCTTACTTATTTTCAAAAACATTTCTTCAAAATTATTCTCTAAAACTGTTTTAAAAAACTAAAAGAACAAAACTAAATCATACAAACCCCCTACATTCCTATTAAGTTTCCTTTAAGTTATGTCGTCATTGAAATCTCATGTGAGACATATAACGAGATAATAAATAGCTGAAAAAATTTCTCTGTACATTTGTGGCATCATGACTAGTTTTGTTTAAATATGATGTGTATTTTCCAATTTGATTCCATACGAGCAAAATTTTATTGGGAAAATTTATATTATTTTTAACCATCTAAAATGGATATAAAACAATTTTTTTTACGTATTCTACTTCTATATTCGTGTATAGATTATTTTTAATTCTCCTCTGCTCCTGCTTTGAAAATAGTTTGATTTACTTTCAGACTTCCGTGATCACTTGGCATGAATAAACAACTGCCAGTTTCATGCTAATATGCAAAAGTCAAGATTTTTTAATGCAATGTTTTGTTTACAAAGTAACTACATAACCTACAATCTTTCAATCTTTCAAGCTTTCACTTTTATTCATTATAGAACAGAATTTTCGCTATCACACTTTAGAAACTGTGGGCATACTTCTATGGCCTATTTGGGTGAGGTTATTATTTGTTAGTTTGGGATTGAAGAAATGAAATATTTTAACATTGCAGAATTGAATTTTAGGAAGGAATTTTCAAATATACAGTTTTGTCATGTATATAAAATAAGAAATGAACAGACAATCTCTTTTTGCATTGTACAACCCTCTGCCTCCTGTGTGTGAACCAGCTCCCTGACCTGCCATTTCCGACCAGCACCTTCGTGTTTTGGCCAGCATGTAGCTGCTCCCTGTGAACCTAGTCTCTGTTGTTGTGTCCTCTCCATGTTTCTCCATTTCTTTTCCCACTCACTGTCTAGCAACTTCACCAAATATCTTTGAAAGAAGGAACTAGTTTGATGCACTATCTTATATTTTATATTCAAGGGATTTATTTTCTTTCGTACATCATGGATTTATTTTTTTAAGCTTTATACGAGGAGTGAGTTTTCTGAAATTTAAGCATAGCTTGCTGCTAATCATATATTTTGGACTAGGAACGTGATCTCTTCACTTAAATTAATGCAAATAAAATGTCCATTTAATTCCGTGTAACTTCATCATTGGGGATATAGGGTTTGAGAGGGATAATAGGAGAAGAGAGTGGGAGTAAAAGAAACAGTATGCTAAGATGAATGTGTTGCTCCGCAGGAACGGACAAGAAAAGGAATAATTATGTATAAGGAGATATTGCTGTGATATCTACCTATCAAGGAAAAGATTATCAAAAAATTATTAAGACAGTTGGACCAAGGTTATTAAATTGAGATTCAAATCATGAATCGCCAAGCTAATTTTTGATGGTGAAACATTATTTGTTTTATACTGTAAGATTTAAGACAAGGAAAAATAATTTAATAAATAGTGTTCAATGTAATAATTTTAAACTAAGTAGATAAAGAAACTTAACCGAAACTCTTAAAATAACATTATTAGTTATATCTAGTGTTATGAGATGGAAGAGCCATGGTGGATGATGAAATTTAACTAACCACCATGATATTGGGAGGTGTGGTGGATTTCAAATGGCGGCCAACATACATGTGATGCTAGTGGTGGCTACAGTGTGGTGAAATGAGAGAAAATAAAAAATAAAAAATAAAAGAGAAACGGACTTGGGCCATGTGGCCTGACTCAAAATAAAAATTAGAAAATAATTTGAATGAAAACCTCTGTCCACGATTTGAGACAGTAGAAAGCATCTCTTCCTCACCCTCATAAATCTTCCTCCAACTGACCAGTGTCCATCATCTGCCATCCTCTATCCATTTTCCACTGTCGATGTTTTGTCCTTTGGTGACCCACTGTTCATCAATGAGCCTCTCTCTGGTGATTATTTTTTTCAAAACTATCTTTTTAATTTTTTCTATTATTCTTTTCATTATATTTAATTCTGTTAAGAATCTAGCTATTCTCTCTCTTTGGTGATTCAAATTGCATCGAACTCTATGATTCAAATCATGAATAGTAAGACTCTAACGAATATAATTTGAATATGTGCACAAAAGGTCATTAGAGGCATCGATGAAAGTAGTAGATCACATGGATTTTATCTTTGTGAAACGGGATAGAAGGGGACAAAGAAGAACATTAGAGGAAATTATTAAAAGGGATCTAATGCTGAATATTATTCTTGAGAATTTGGTTTTGGTTGGGTATAATAGCATCATGTGATCCTAAGTGGATCTCATCTAGTGAGATAAAACTATTTTTATATTATAATCATGATTGGGGTTGTATGATACTAAATGTTAGGCACTAAAGGTCCACATATATCCTTCATCAAACATCCATCGTTCACCCTTTACGCTGTATAAATACATGTGGCGGCTCTGGGAAACATATGTTTCATCCCATTTACATTATCTATTTCTTTGTTTCTATCTCTTTTCTCTATAAATTTTCAATATTGAAGATAATGGACTAGCCATCTGTTCTTCTCACTGTCATTATTTTTCTACTTTCGATTATTTCTTGATCAATTTTTAGATTTTGTATGTTAAGGACCTGCCGCTTATGCTTGGCTCATTAGTTGTACATGTTTATATTCCCTAAACCCTATTAAGGTGTTTTTTACTTTTCTTCTTGCAGTTACTTTTTCATTGTTGTATAGTTTGTGATGCGTTGCAATTAATATAATTTTCTCCTATTTTCTCTAAATTCCTGCTAATAAGAGGATAAAACCAACATAAATTTTGCCTGTTGTCTAATCTCCATATCAAGCAACCCTCGATGAAAAATGTAAAAGCTGTAGACTCCTTGATATTTCACCGCTCTCTTTCTCTCCTGTGGTAACAGGTTTGGAATAAGTGCTAGATCTTTTAAATTTAGATTTTGAAAATTGAAACTTAGATACCCTGATTATATATATTTAAGACATGGCTTTATAGTTATGCATTTACTGTTCAATCTGGATTTTAATAACGGCTCTAAGTTCTTGTTTATACAAAGTAAGGAAGTATTTACCAAGAAATTTGCCGTATTATATCTCTTGTATTATGATGTACACCATTTCAAGCAACCATGTAATGTGGGTTTGTCATCAAATTGTCAGGCAACAGTCTTAGTTATTATATTTAATGGAAGCAGGCAATTTGCTAGTTCTTTTATTATAGTGTCATGATGGAAGTATTTTTTGGAGGCAGGTTAATCACTATCAAGAACCAGGCATCAAGATTTTTTAGTTATTGAGAAAATTGCAATCCTGTCTGCTGAGATTAATTATTCTCCAAGTAGGCTATAGACTGTTTTTGTTATTCTTATGGTCTCATTATTTTATTTTAACTTTATGTAGAAACTGGAGTTACAGAAATTATCAAGATGGACCAACAAAACCAAAATAACACTCCTGATGGTTCAGGAGATGTACCTTTGAAGCGCAAGCGTGGTCGTCCCCGGAAATATCCAAAGCCAGATTCTGAGGAGAGTTCCTATATCCTAGTTAGTCAAAATAAAAGGCAAAATCCTGTTCGTACTGAACAAATTCCAATACCTCCTGGATTTGAGGTGGCTAATGGAAGTCAACAGCTTCAAAGGGGTCAAGAGAATCATTCAAATAATGCGATGGTGGGCCAGCTAGTTTCTGGTGTAATTGAGGCTGTATTTGATGCTGGATATTTGCTCAGTGTTAGAGTTGGTGATTCTGATACTTCTTTGAGGGGGTTAGTCTTCAAGCCTGGACGATTCGTTCCTGTCTCACCTGAAAATGATGTTGCTCCGAGTGTTCCAATGATCCAAAGAAATGAAGTTTCTTTCCCTTCTAGAGTTGCTCAGTTTCAAACTCCTCTCCCAAAGGAAAGGAATGAACAGTCAATGAATGTTCATAGAGTTGAAACTCTTGCAATGAACGGCTCACCATCTATCCCTCAGGTACCTAGAGGACCTGTTAGTTCTAGTAACTTGGCTGCCTCTTCTGGAAAGAATGTGCCTACTGTGCCAAGCCAGACCTCTCTTCAACTACCCAGAGGTACTGTTGGCCCTGTATTGCTCCAACCTAACAACTTTTCAAACGGGGTGCCAGTTTCTAATCAACCATCACAAATCAAGAGCCAAGTTTCTCTAGGGAGTGGAGTGATTGCTGCCAAAGAAATTCCTGTAGATGGAAACCCTTCACTTGTCTCTCACACTCAAAATAGCCAGACTTTGTTGTCAAGCAGCATGCAAAGTGAAGGTGCTCTTCCACATAATCAATCTTCATCTAATGTGGTGAATGAAGATGAAGCCAAACCTATGAGAATGCCTGGCATGCCTTTTGAGCAACTGGTTACTGAAGTTGTCAAGAGGATCCAAGCTCCTTCGGATGCCATGGATAACGAGATTGATAACAGCAGGTCAGGTGATAATACGGCAATGAAGGATCCAATCGGTATGCAAGAAGACAAAGTTAATGACATAGATCAACCTATCTTGATTAAGCCACTGCAAGCTGTACAGTCTTGCCCTCATGAAAGCTCAACATCTGCTCCCAAACCTTTAGACTACACCGAAACTGGCAGAGTGAATGAGCTATTGCAGGTAAAACAAAGGCATTAACTTATTTATATTTGTTAGGCTTGTAAGTTGGAACTGGGGGTGATGGAAGAAATGGACTCTTGGTTACCCTTTAGTTGCTATGTACCTAAATTATGACATATGTATTGATGTGCTATTACAAGGTTTTGCAACATAGTAATACGGAGAACCTGGCATCCAAAGCAGCAGAGCTAGAATCTGGAAACAAGTTGGATGATATAAGGAGTTTAGGAGCTGGACTTGAAGATGATGGAACTGTTCAATCAACAAAGCCTTTCTGAGCGTTGAATCTGGATTATAAATTTTCTCATTTGCGGCTATTTTGCCAGCAGATTTATCTGCCATAAAGTGGGTAAATATCTGGCAAAAAAAAAAAAAAAAACAAATTAGTTTAGTTCTAGTCTTAAGGATCTTAAACATTTTCAAACTTGCAAGCCTCATTGAATTTGGTGAAGGTAGCTTGTTATAGTTATAATTACTTGTTTTAAATTAGGGACCATTCCTTCAAGTCAGATGTTAATTACTTTCTTAGCAAATCAAATATTGTCCAAAACTTCAAATCAATGTTTGAAGCCATTTTATGAGGCAGTTAAATTGCATTGTGTGCTTTGTAATTCTATTGCTACATTTGTTATTCACTGTCTTTGTTGCCCATCTGGTTTTTGCTGTGAAACAGTATTGTGTATTCTGTGATTGTTTTGTTCCATGGTGTCCATGGTACTAGTAGAGAATTCCAGTTAATTAGAAGTTTAGTTTTAATCCTTATTAAAGTAGAAAAACCTTACTGTTTTCACTGTGATGTCCATTTGGTTGATGGATTAAGTTGATGTTTGCATTTTCAGTTGGGGGAGCTCAAAAGTGTTTTTATTTCCATAATAATAAAATTTTCCTTCATTTTGCTTTGGAATTTGAGAATGGGCATTAGAATTTCCAAAAACACGTTTACAACTTTTATCCAAACATAGCCTAAGAAATACGGAAATGCAATGGTGCTGCATACATTGTATATAAACAATTAATATGATCTAAAATATCTTTTAATTAATTGAATTTGTATTTTTATACTCTTATATTCTTATATCATTTTTTAATAAAGAACCTTTTAGAAGCAAAATATATTTTTTAAATATGTATATGACAAAATTAAATAATATCAACTAATTTTGTTAATTTATGTAAAATTTAATAATTTTTATTTATATTTGAATGAGTTATTATAATACTCTTTTATTTATTTATACAACCTCAAATATCAATTAGTGGAGAAAGATTTTGGACATCATGTCTCCTCAAATATCAATTAGTGGAGAAAGATTTTGGACATCATGTCTCTTACATTCTGTGGTAAGGATTTTTCTTTCAGTAAATCCAAAATTTCATATTATTTATTAACTAATAATAATTTATATATTCTTTTTTCTTAATATGCATTTTGAAAATATTATTTTTAATGGATATAATAATATTATTTTAGTTTAAAGTTAGAGATTCTATTATATAATAAACATAATTATATCGATATTATCTTGAGATTATAATAAACAATATATAAAAAAGAAATTTAAAAAAGTATAATAATATTATTATATTTAATGAAATAATTTGTTATGTAAATTATTCAAGATAAACTTTAATTTTATTACAATGTATATATAGCATTTTTAATATATGTTTTATAACAATTCCAATTAGAACATTGTTGCTGGCATGACCGTCTTCAAATTAAGATACTGGGTTTTATATGATTGGGAGTTTTAGAAAACAAAATTTCAATATCAAGAACCATATTTTAAGAACATCAATGTTAAAAGAAAAATAATTGTTCAAGCATTCAATTGTAGCTTTGTAAGACCCAATTGTAAACCAACACTTGTAAAAATCATTTAAGAGGATTGTGACATGATGAGATCAATTTAAAAAAGACCATGAGAGTTTTTAATTTTTGGAAGTTATAAAACTAATTCTAAATAGTTAAATGAATTAAATAAGTAATTCAATTAATTTTAACCACAGATGTTTCATTTTGTGTCATGGTAAAACAAATAGAAAGTGTTTTACATGTATTAACTAAAGAATATGAATTTTGAAGATGATGAACAAAATTAAACTTTTGCATTATAACTTATGTGTTAAAGTGTTCAATTATTTTTCTTCAAAATTTTATAATTAAGTATTTTTGTATTTAGAACACATTATGTGTGCACATAATTAGTTATATTGTGTTATTTATTTTTTATCATAACTTAAGTTAAAAATAATTTTATAATTGATTATGTTTATTTTTTATAAAAGGATAAATAATAATAATTATTATTAATTTAATGTGCTACTATATTTGTGGTCTAAAATCCAAAAACTCTGTTCAGTTTTTATTATTGTTGATGTTTGGAGAAATTATGGGTTTTGGACCACACGATCTCCATTATTTTTCAGATAATATTTAAGGAAATGTTATTAATTTAAAGTTTAAAAAACATATCATATAAAGATTAATTTGGTCCAGTAATAAATAACTTTTGTTTAGATTGATGAAGACATTAAAAATGATAGAGTGACAACTATTTTAATGCAAATTCTATATATTTTAACCATAGTTCATAGGGAAATATTTTTTCCTAGGTAGAATTTAATTAATTTAGGTTAGTGTAATAGACTCTATCTTATTTTTTATTATTTTATGTAATTTTTTTCAAATATAAGATATTAAATTATAATATTTTTAGATAATTTAAATATTTTATAATAAAGGACCTATTTATTTATTAAAAGAAAATTATTATAATTATAAAAAAATTATATTATTAAAAAAATATAATTATTATATATAATTATAATTGATTATTAAATTATATATAAATATATAATTAAAAAAAAGATGAGATAAGAGATACGTTTGTTGTAAATTTAAGATTTAAGATTTAAAATTTAAATAAAAACTAAAATAATTTTTAAATATAAAGATGAGTTATGAGAAATGAAAAATGAGAAAGAGAGAAGGGAAAGAAAAGAGGACAAAGATAGAAATGGAGGAAGGAAAGAGGGAAAGAGAAGAAGAACGAGTAAGAGAGAAAAAAATATAAAAATAAATCTGATAGAATTTTGGTATATTATTTGTAACTATTAAAGTAAGACAATAAAATATTTATTATTTTATTTATAATTATGATGAGTAAGACATTCATAATCTCATTTTATTTATTATTTTATAATTATTTATTTTCAGTTACATATTAATTATATTTTATATTTATTTATCTTTAATTACTATCAATTCTATTTTATATTTATTTATTTATTTTTAATTATACATTCATTTATTTTATATTTATTTTTAATTATACATTCATTTATTTTATATTTATTTTTAATTATACATTCATCTTATTTTATATTTATTTTTAATTATGTGTTAGTTTTATTTTATATTTATTTATCTTTAATTTATATAAGAGTTCTATTTACTTACTTATTTATTTATATTATTTATTTTATCTCTAGTTATATACTATTTTTTAATTTATATTTATATTATTTAATTATTTTTAAATTTTGAGAATAATATTCATTTATAAAGATGTAATAACATTTATAGATGAAAATTGAATTTTAAGAATTAAAATGAGTAAATATCACTATAAAGTAATTAATTTTGAACTTATTTACCTTCATTAGTCATTATAAAAATAATTTAAATATTCATAATATAAAATAAATTAAATATATTGATAAAATTAAAAAAGTTGATTTTTTATATCATTTTAAAATAATATTATTATATAATTATTGTAATTTTTCTATTTTATCTCTTATGTATAATATAACTAAAATATCAACTTAAATAAATAAATATGTTAAACTAAAAGTCAATGATAAATCATTCAAGGGAAAAAAAATATTTGTCAACTTTATTTGTAGAGTCTTGTAAACTTATAAATTTTATATATTTATACTTATAAATAAATAGTGATGTAATTTTTAAAATGATTATTAAAAAAGCTAACAAACTTATGTTATATATTTATATAGAAAATGATTTGTAATTAGATGATGAAGTTTTTTCTTTCAAAAAATAAAACTAAAACATCAAATTCAGAAATATATATATTTTTTAAAATAAATGTAAAAGTGTTTCTAATTAATTTAACAATCACTTCAGGTTCATTCTTATTGAATACAATTAATTTAATTAGGTTTATATAAAAATAAAAAACCAGACGCTCACAATTACCCCAAACTCTTATTTATTTGATTTAGAAATTTTATTGTATTTAATGTTTAATGTTTATAACGAACTCATTGAGGATTAGTTTGTTGGAGAAGGTCAAATATAAATACATAACTACCAATAGAGATTTTCATTCATTGTGCTTAATTTTATAACCAATTCTTCAATATCAATTGCCAAACATATAAAATCAAGTTTTAAAGGAAAAAATCTTTCAAAACTCCAACGATATAACTGAACCTTGGGAACTTCCAAAATATTCTCAAACGTATACTGCAAAATATCAGGTAATTGTACCAGCTGAAAATCACTGTACACTCAGTTCTCACAAATGAGAGGACAAAATTTTATAGCATAAGGGGAAAACAGAAAAAACAAAGAGGACAATGATCCTTAACTCATTGAAAGGGATATTAACAGCAGAATGTGAATGAAAAATTCACTAAAATTTAGTGCCATAGAAACCATTTGGTCCTGGAACTGAAATAGGTCGTGTGAGAGGAAAGCCAGGTTGCAGAAGTGGAATGTGGCTTTGAAGTGCAAAGGGCTGGTGTCCACTTGTTAGGACAGGAGGGGGCACACAAACTGGCATTGCTGGACCAATTGTCCCTCCTGCTTTTAGAAAATAGAAAAAACATTATCACAAAGGAAATGCATGTCGACTTTCTTCAATTTGGATGCCAAAATCATAGGAAACTATTGTCTGGTTTGGATAAATCTTTGTATAAATGCTTACAAAGGAAGAAAATAAATGAATTGAGCTTCTTCTCCTATAAGCTATATATAAATCCAGTTTATGCACTTCAGTTTTTAGAATTGTCAAATGAGAGAGCTTCTACAAAAATGCTTAAGTTGATTTTAATTCATAAGAAAAGTTCAATTCATTAAACCTTCTTGTATTCTTTTCTTGTAAGTGTTTATAATAGGTTTTTAAATTATAAACAGTTCTAGCATAAGCATAGTTTCAATGACTACTATGGTGTCAAAAAGGAAAATGCTAATGAGTGACCAATGTAATAAATGGTGTACTTTTCAGTAAATGCATTTTTTAGTACATAATATGTGCCCTTTGAAAACTCATAAATAAAACCATACAGAAAAGTAAAGATATCATTGAGTTCATGTCAAAAAGTGTCAGTTATTCATTGACCATGTAACTATGAAACTAATCCTTGACAAGGACTGGTTGTAAGCATATAGCTATGAAACTTAAGTTTTTACCTTAATAAGAGAGGACAAAATTAGGTTTTTACCTTGTTGCTTTGGAAACGGTACATGATGATTCAAAAGAGGGCGAGCTGAGACTGGGGCAACAGCCGTCGTTCCATGAATCAAATCCTTCAATCATAAGTAAAAATGTCAAAAGACCAAGTTAATGATGGTCAAAACTATAATGAACATTTCCAGATGAATTTGAATATCTAATATCATAATAATGATAGAAATGTACTTTTTTAGATTCCTAAAAAAAAATTGAAATCCCACTCCCAGTAGAATTCTCCAATTCATTTGTTTTTTAGATTTGAATTTCAATTCTCTCTATTTGTTTTGTTGCAAATTCCTTCCTTTGAAGTTGAGTATAAAATTATATTTCTTTCTCTTTTCATAAGAGGTATTTCATACACTAATAAACATTTGATACATGGATTAGGTAAAATTTCAAGTAATTCAGTATAAAGAATAGAAATTCCAGTATTACTAAATGGATTATGTGATTTGAAGAAGCATGACAACAAATCGTGGAATATTGGAAAAATCTTATATCTTTTATAGAGGTACATTGTGAAATAAAAAAAGATAAAATAGAAAAAATGAAATATAACTATTTGAATATTCTATTCATATCATATTAATATGAATAGAATATTCAAATAAAATATTATAAAGACAAAAAAAAAACAAAAACTTACAACTTGATTTGACTGACCTTGTAAAATTTTAATTCCTAAATGTTTTGTAACATTTTCTGCGAAATTAATTTCTTCCAATTTTGTTAACTTTCTTTTACTTAGAAAACTTGAAGTAACTGCCAAAAAGTTATAGAGCACGCTATCTTACATGGGAAACTGGCTGAACATATACTAACTGGGGGGAACGTCCAACCATAACCTGCATTCGGAAAAAAAGGTAATATCTTGCCTATGATTGATTCTTCAGCATATAAATACTGATTATCTCCTAAACCAATTACTAGAATGTACAAAAGAAAACTCAAATTAAATAAATGGAGCATAAGATCTTATTGTACTTACAGCAGGAGAGCTTGGTTGTATATAAGCAGGTTCAGACAAAACAGGGGTGTAATGTGTAGTATACCGGAGGGGTTGGTTTCTATGTGGCACATGTCCAACAATCTGTTGCCAAAGTCAAATTAACTAGAATGAGTACAGGGTATATTTTAGACTAATTCCTGCATTTATGACATTTGGATAAAATACACATGCTCATGTAGGCACCGATGCAGACAAGATTAAAAATCAGAAATTTATTTATACATACCGGTTGAGAAAACTGAGAGCCACTTCCACCATTTCCCACTGTCAAATTACTATACTGTGCAACCTTTACAGGTACTGAAGGCCGAGAAGTAAAAGCGTTGAATCCAACTTCTGGTTGAATACTAGCAACAGGAACTACAGGAGAGCTATTTTGTATGTATACCATGCTCGCACCAGAGGTTGATGATATAGGATTCACAAAAGATGGAGAGAAGGTTTTGGCAGCTGGATTGAGCTTAAATTGCTAAAAGAATGTCAAGAACAGAAAAAGTTAAAAGCATATCAAGATTAAAAGAGATTCATTATCTTAAACTTGGCACTTGCTATCCTATTATGCTGTTTGCCAAAACAAACTATCTAAGGATTTTAAAATGGTGGATGACATATCTAAGGAGCGAAGCATGAAAATATAATGGGTCACTAATAAAAAATGTTTAGGAATAGTGTAACTAACAGATTACTTGGGAAGACCTGATAGATGACCCATGTCAATAGATAAGCTTCCAAAACGAAACTCCGTTGAAAAATTCATCCAATAAGATACAAACATGCATTTAATGTGCTTTACAATGATATATAAATTCCCCATCTACATCTTTTTCTTTTAATCAGGAGCTGTTTGGCCAGAAGCTTTTAATGGAAGTTAAATTGATTTATTTACCTTAGCATTTCTTGTAGAATCTTTACCCCTTGGAGCAGATATTTCAATGGACCTTGCTGGATGTGATTCTGTGGTGAGATCCACACCTTGGGTTGAAGTTGTAGAGACAGACTCTGCTGAAGCAGACCTTTCACTACACCGATCATTAGCTTGAACAGATGCAGGAGCATTGTTGTAGAATAATCCGTCATCAGAAGGATTTGATGTCCTATCTTTGCTTCCATGATCAACAGCTATCTGTTGGCCTATACATGTATCAACTGCAATGTAAGTACAAGAGAATTAAGGGAACACAGAATTATGGAAACAATATCCTCATCTTTTGCTGGGAAGAGGGGATTTAAGAAATTCAGGGTGAGCAATCATAATCTATATACTAAAGCTCAAATCAAATTAGATTTAACAGGAGTTGGTTAACTAAAGCAAAAATTAGAGGTAATATTATGTAAAAATATTGGAAGAAAAATAGACAGATAAAACGTTCTTTTTCTGTAACCAGAGCTTTGAAAAAGCGGGTATACTGATACCAAGATAGCAAAGGATGCCAATGCACAAAACTTTCAAATTAAGGACAGGGTGACTTTTTCAGCAGCCCGTATTGCTAGCAATGAGGTTGACGCCCATGGTATTGACATTGCAGCCCAAATAACTAGGCCTATCAGTAGCACAAGGAGGCCTTCAAACTTGAGTGACAATGTCTAGAATATATTAACAGCATTGGACTAGCACTAGTTTCTTGCACCTGTCATACATTTGGAATTATTCCTTTTACCTATATTCCTATTTTAGTTACCTATAAGTGGAGAGAGTCAATTATATTGTACTGTACCTATATATTCTGTCATGATTGAATGAAGAGGGAATGGAAGAATCATATCATAGATTTTGTTCTTTTAGTTGTAACCATATCCGTGCTCTCTCTCTCTCACACACACACACACACACACATATATATATATATATATATTGATATCAAGGTTTTAAATTGTGGTTGTGGTTGTACTTTTGTCGCAATTCTTATTGTGGACTAGCCACAACTATGGTTGTAGTAAGCCCAAAACTTTGACGTTATGGCTGACATCACAGTAGCAGAACGCTTCCTAAAACCATAATCAGGATGACAAATTTGGTTGTTCCGCACATTGTTTTACATACAAAAAATGCTAAAGTGCACAATACAAATACCAGAATCATTACAACTTATGCCATCTCAATATACAGTGGCTAAGGATAATTTTGCATGCCGTAGATATTGGAGAAATCTAACTCACTTTCATGGCTTGAATTGTGGCTTTGAATCGTTTCATCCTGTTGAAAATCAGAGCTTTAGAATTAAAAAATTCAAACTATCAAAATGTGTGGAAATCTTGCTCAGAATAGTACGCATGTGTCTACATACACTTTTTTCATTTAGAAACTCAGACTTCTGTCTGTGATCATCAGCTTTTCCTTTTGAGTTTGACTTTTCATCTCCAGCTTGTCTGTAAAAGAAAAATTGGCAGAAATCCAAGAATGAAATAAATAATTGCTTAATCCTGTATTTTCAAAATACTTTTTCTAGCCGTCACAAATTCTCATGCGAAGATAGTTAAAAATTTAGGAATCATAACCATCCACTAGTGACAGATAATTTTGCTCCAGAGAGAAAATCTTAGTAGTTAATATCATATATAATCATATACTACCAATAAAATTGCAATAATGTAAATTAGACTATCACAATTTAAGTTTTACTCATTGAAACAGAGTTTTCCCCATATTTATGTAGTTAAAAGTCCATTTTCTTATGATTGTTCTTCTCCTTGAAAGGCTTTCAGTTGCGGGGACATTAAGGAGCATGTAAGGATGGGATGGACTCTAGAACACAACTGAAGTAAGTCTAGAAAAATCATATTCACAAATATACATCTAGCTTATGCAGATACGGACTACTTCAATGCCATTTTCAAATGAAAACAACAAAACACATACTCCAAATAGGTATAAAATGTGGATATGCCATCAGCCTATGAAGGTTATAAACATACTTCAACTGAATATGGTTTTCCAAAGTAAACTATTGATTTAAGTATGATGAAACTAAATTTGGAAACCATTCTCTACATTCAATAGTAACCTCTCGCAGATGTCTACAACAATTTATATTTTTAATGGTGAGTAGTTTAAAATTGTTTCAAAATGGAGTTTTTAAAATAAATAAAAAACTGAAATAAAGAAGAGTTTTTATTTAGTTTCCTTTAATCTATCATAAAATACATTATTTAGAGAACTTTTTTCAAAAACAAAATGGATGACCGACTTAATGTCTCTCCCTCTCTGGGAAGGGAAAATTTGAAACCACAACATTTTTGCCATTGTCTCAATACGAGCAACCCACAATGATGAAACTTGCCCCGGTACCATTTGGTGGCACCTCAACTACCAGTTAGCAAAGTAGCTTTAACATGTCCAAATCAAAATATTGGGAAGCTTAAGCCTCCGAAGAATGCAGGACTAAAGCTGATGAACAAGAAAATCAACACATACAATCCTGTTGGACAGAAGGCAAGCCACCAAGCACCTGTATTCCTTTTGTAGCCTTATTCTATATTATAGGTTCTTTTTAAGATAAGCTGTGAGTCGTAAGCTTTCATAACAAAAAGTTAACCATAATTTTTAAACGGACAATGTTTCATGATCAACATATTCATAAAATGAGGTTGCTTGAAGAATATGAATTTAGACAAAAGCCAAAGGAGACATAGAAAAATTGGTGTTTAACAAAAGTTATACATATTTTGCTAGATAAATACGAATGAGGACCCATGAGCAACCAACAAATTGAAGTTGTGAGAGCATTTGAACACATTAACATAGATTTGAACCATTGGAAATTAGCACTTGGCCGAAAAGCACCCATTTAATCAAATCACAACTTTTGTATAGAAGACTACTCAACAATGGCATTTCAGTATGTGTGTGCATGGTTTCTGAAGGGATATTCTTTGGCATTGAAAAAAGTATAAACCAAAAGATAAGACAATTGGAAAGAAAATATCATAAATAAATGCTTCCTTTAGATGTTGGATGTAAAACAGTAATAAATTAACTTAATAAGTATGCGTAACAAACATCTCTCCATGCATGTGAATGAATTTGATTGGAGATATCATAGTACCTAGATTGATTAACTTGTTTTGCATCCACCAAGGGCTCTGTGTGATTCTCTAATTCGCATGTTAGACTCTCAGAACATACATTATGTGCTACTGCTTCCTCATCATCACCAGTAATGTTTTCAACAACACCATCTGCAGGAAGCATTACTTCCTATGCACAAACAAACATGTACATTAAGCACATAATTGCGTTTGATATGCACAAACAAACATGTACACTCTAGTTAGATATGTTTGAACTCATTGGAAGAAACATTGGATTGTGTGTGTGTCTTACCTTGGCAACAACTTGCACAAAATCACTGGATAGAATCACTAGTGTATCCACAAAGCCCTCATTTCCGATGTTGGTGTTGCCTTTTCCCTTCTTGGTCATCCTTGCTTTCTTCAAAACAATACCTAGAAATGGCATAAAGCAAAGGATCACTGAGTTTTAGTACAAAAGATGTTCACTAAAACTTAAATGAGGCTTTATGTCAAAACTTAATAATTAATAAGCTACAAGTCCCTGTAATATACACGTTTTAGTGTTTTGGTCCATACATAATTTTTTTTTAGCCTTTTTGATTCCCCAAATTTTAAATACTATTTTAGCCCCTCTTGTTAGGCATATGTGAGTGTTTGCCGGCATGGCAAGCTGAAGGCCACGTTGGACATGATGAAAGCCACCACATGTATTAATGATTGCCATGTAATTTAATCATAATACATATTTGCTGTGATGGCCTGCACCCACTGCCTCCCCTAGTTCCGTACCCTCCTCAACCTCATCAGCCTCATCAGCGCCCAACCCTGCCCCTGCTCCTCGTCCATCTTCTCCTGCCCCCACACCTAACCCATCTCCTCCCACACCATCCATGCCTACTCCACCATGCACTAGTGTTGATAATTTGGATAAAGTTTGTATTCTATGCTCCCCCAGTAGTGTAATTATTGAGGTCCTTATTATCATAATTTTTGTAGTTCTTTACGAACTCTTTTAGTCCATGTTCTATGTGGTTCCCTCGTATGCATTCTTTCCAGATTCTGTTAGTTGTAAGATGTTTCATCTAATTCTTGTGCTTTATTTTTTCTTCCATGTCTTAGAGTAGGAAAGACAATGTTGGTCCATGTTCTATGTGGTTCCCTCGTATGCATTCTTTCCAGATTCTGTTAGTTGTAAGATGTTTCATCTAATTCTTGTGCTTTATTTTTCCTTCCATGTCTTAGAGTAGGAAAGACAATGTTGATGAGGATGATTCTTCTCCCAGTCAAGGCCCGTCATGGTTCAGAAAACACTATGGAAGGCACAGGAATGACAATGAAAGATCAAAACATCAGTTCAGAAGTAAGGACGCTTTGACATAGTTATGCTATGATAGCGTATGACTAACTTTCAATGCTGGCTCTCTTGATTAGAGCTTGTTAGATGATTTCTTCTCAAAATATTCTAACTGGATCTTGTATGACTACCTTGCAATACTAGCCCTCCTGATTAGAGCTTGTTAGATAATTTCTTCTTAAAATCTTGGAACTGCCTCTTGTCCGAAAAAGGCGTGGGAGATGGGTTGGGTGTGGGTAGGAGAAGATGGAGATGGAGCAGGGATTTCATGTTATATAAACAAGTTCATCCACTAACCCTTAGATCCAATACTAAAACAACAATTATACTATTCATTGAGTCTCTATAGCTATAGTTGTCCCATGTTAAATTTCAGTCCCAAATTAGAAAGTGACAGTGTTAATTTACACAATTTATTACCGCCAGAAACTTTTTTATGAAGGTTTTTACCATCAGAGTGTTTTCTCTGTTGTTATTCATACCAACAAAATTTAACTCTTACACATTATAGGGGTTAACGATTTCTCATACAGGGACTAAAACTTAAAACGGAAAAAACAAATAAATGAATAATTTGACCTAAAACAAATGCTAAATGTAAGAAATAAATTTGATGTCAGATTTATTCCTAATCAATATTCCTAATTGTTTTTCTCGGAAAAGACAAAACAATTGAAGCTAGAAAACATCCACAGTCTCAGGATCTATGATTAATGCTTCAGCAGAAACAAATCAAAGACAACGAAAGCCCACACATGATTATTGTTGAAGCATCCCAAAATACGGAATTTTTCACAACCCATTTGAGTCTCCAAGGAAATCTAAACAGAAAAAAAAAAAAAAAACTAATTTTCCATAAATGAAAGAGAGGAAGAAGAAGTGAACCATAATCGGCTTGAGTAGAAGTAGCGTGGAAGATTCCAGAATATACAGAGCCATCCTTGACATGAACATCAACAGGGAGACCCACGATGTACATGGTGGTTAAAAGCAAGGCCTCGCTGATCGAATCATTAGAAGGTGAAGAGTGATTCTCTGGGAAAGAGTGCCTGTTTCTACAACCCATTTGCAATGTCTTCTCTAGCACTAGACTATTCTGCTGTTGCAATTGGATGAAGAGAAGAGATCTTGAATAGAAGATACGAGGAAGAACTACCCACTAAGCACAACACGTTCCTGTTGTTGTTGTGGTTCCTTGTATTATTGATGCCATTGTTTTCCTCTAACCTAAACCTTAAAGGACCAGATTGTTGTTCACTTTGCAATATTGCCACTGTTTGACTGTATTAATAATTTCTCTTTTAATCATTTTTTTATTTTTCAATTATTTAAATATGTTTTATAAAATATTGAAACTGATTTAGTGCTTCAATATAATGTATATATAATCCACCTATTAAAATATTTAATGCTGTAGAAGAAGATAATAATAATATTGTTTTATTTTATTTATAATGTAGTGTGTAATTTTCTTAAATTGAGAGCTTATGTTATTTTAGAGTTTTTTTTATATCTCTTTCTTTAATTTTTTTCTTTATTTGTTTTTATTCCATAATAATGGGTCATTGTGACTATTTGTTTTTAAATGTAGGGAATAAGATATATCATTCTGTTAAAAAAATTGACTTAAAAGTTTCATAGTGAATCAAAAGAAGGAAAATTTTATGTTATTAATGATTATAAGACCATAACTAATGATTATAGACTGAACTTTTTATATGAATTAACGTGCAATATGTTGCAGAAAATCTTCTAACATTGTTAGTTTTTCTCTCCAGATTTTAATACTTTATTTTTAAATGTTTAGTATTTATTAAATTTTAATATTTTTTATAAAATTCGAATTTTGTTTTTGACTTTGTAGTATATATTATATTTTTAATAATAAAAAACCTACTTATTCCAAAAATAAGAATTATAACTTTTTTATTATAATTATTTAGCGATATAATGATATAAAATCATAATTTATACTAATCTTTATATCATAAAAAATAAGTATTTAAAGATATGCTTGTTTATTACTTTTAAAAATAGTTTTTAAAAATTTAAAATATTATCAAAAAATTAAATTAAATAATATATATATATATATATATATATATATATATATATATATATATATATATATATATTCAAGAAACACACAAATTGTAAATAATTTAGTATACAATTAATATATACTACCTATAAATCTAATTTATTTGAAAATAGAATAATTAAAATAATTTATAATTACATTCATCAATCATTATTTTTAATGTTTTAAAAAAAATTATCCACTCCTTTTTTAATGGTGGTAACTTGATCTAATGACTATGGTATGAAAAAAATTATAATAAATATATAATAAATGTAACATTTAAAATCATATCATAGTTGTTATAAAAAATTTAAAATAATTATGACGTAATCTCATGATTAAGAGTATATATAAGATATGGTCGATGTGTAATATCACACTAACTCTGTATTAATTTATGCTATCTATTGCACATATTCGTAATATTCTAATAGAATGAATATAATAATTAATAATTTATAATACTTTAATAAAATAAGAGGATTGATAATTTATAATATTTGATAAAATAAGTAGATTAGAAATAATTAAAATAATATTTTTTTACTAAAACTTTGAAGTTTGTGATTCATCACAATTTTTATATAGTAATAAAAACCACACAACCATACTGTTAATGTCATACATTCATTGATTCGCTAGAATTTATCCAACTTTAATTCATTCATAACTACGTAATAATAATATATACAATAATTTGTTTGATGCATCAACCTCTCACTTTTTAAAAAATAGTGTCAACCTATATCATTCACGAAGACATGTTTATTAAAGTTAAATCTCATTTTCAAAATTTGGTGAAATTTATGCTGCATTTTACATTTATCTCTAAGTACACATGATAAAAATTGTTAGAGAATACCTAGAACAATCAAACATGTAATTAGAGAATATATTTCATCATAGTTTAGATGAGAATTAACCTCAATAAATTAATAAATTATATATATATATATATATATATATATATATATAAAATTTTCTCAAAGTGTGCAACAAAATAATTTAAAATTCAATACAAAAATTAATATTTGATTAATCATGGTATTAAATTTTAAACAAAAAATCTAAAGTTTACTTGAGATGCATAAATTAAATTTAAAGTATATAAATTAAACTCATAAACACAAGTATCAACAAATAACTTTTACATGTTTCCATATATATAACACAATAAAGACACACATAATATATTTAACATAACTTTGAAACATAACAAATATTTAAGGCTTCTATAAGTTTAAACTTAGTAAAATAATAACACTTCATTATGAATAAAATATTTTCTACATTCTAAATTAATAAAATTATTTTGCTAATTTTAAAAATCATTAATTAATTTTCTTTTTGTCATAAATTAATAAATATTTCTTTTCTCAAATCATTATAGATATAATTTTGTATCCTAGTTATAAATTCAATCCTAATTGTATATTAAATTCTTATTCTAACTTAAATCCTAAATTTTAAATTAAATTTCTAAATTAAATCCTCAATTTAAATTGAATTCCTAATTGATAATTTATATTAATTCCATTAGGTATTAGCCAATTGATACTAAGCGTTTCATATTAGGTATTAGCCAATTGATATGATATTGTATCTTGTTGTAAAATATGCTGCTGCACTAATGAATAACTCAATGAAGTATTTGCTATATTATGAAACTCTTCTCAAGAGTTTAAAATAAGATAGTTTAGATTGTTTTTATAAAGTTGATAGATTTAATATATTAAAAGAGGTTCTAATCCATTAAGATAGACTTTATTGTCCAGAAAATACCAATTTTAATAGATTAATTATAAAACCAATAAAGAAGGATCTATTAAGCTGTTTCAATCTGATAAACTAATAAGTTAACAGAGAGAAATTATAAGTTTAAAAATTTCGGTAAAATTAATAAATTAAAATATATTTTTAGCTGTAAAAAATATTATTTTCTGTATTCTTAATAAATAGATGAATATTTGAATATATTGCAATTTTTATGTTTAACGGAAATATTATTTATTAATAGTACGTAATAATTTATACATAATATTATATTATAAAGATACAATTAATAATTAACTTAAATAGGTATAAATTATTTCTTAAAAATAACCTTAGTAAATATCTTATAAATATTGTTATTCTATTCTTTTATACATATATTAATATTATTTTTTTATTACATATTTATATTTTTATGCTAACTTAACCATTGAAGTGTGTGCATAAGTGGACTTCTAATTTTTCCAATGCAAAATGCAAAATAGAGTTTGTTCGAACTCATCTTTTATTATTTTTTATTGTATTTTTTTATAAGAACATTTGACAAATTGTGAGGCTTGTAAAAATATATCTTAAATCACGTTCAAAAATTACTTTATACAACAAAATGAATGTTGAAGACATCATTAACAATTTGAAATATTATATTGAATAGATGTAGAGGAAGAATGAAGTGAATGTTTGTGTAGAGCTCAAGGAGAATTAAGCAAAAATGGAAGCCTTCAAAAGGAAAAATGAGGAGGTAGAAAGCCACTCAGACTAAGCTCAAAACAAGTGGGAAGAAATCTGATTCTCATCATGTCCGAGATCAATCCAAGTTGAAGCTCAGAAATCTTTTGAGATTTTAGCAAAAACATTATCTACCATGTGGAAAACCCTTTCTATAGAGAGATTTGAAGGAAAAATGAACCCGAACGAATACACTTGGGTCCATTTAACAAAAATTAGTATACTGGTGAAAATGATGCTTTCCTATGTTGAATTGTTTCTAACTTTGAAGGAGTTAGTGCTCAAATGGTTTTATGATATCTGTACTATGCCAATAAAATCATTTGAGATATTGACCTAAATGTTTTGAGCTAGCTTTACAACAACCAGATTTCATCGGCCAACCTCTCTCATCCTCCAAGGGTTGAGATAAGAAAAAAAAAATCTTTAAGAAAGTTTATAGAATAATTTATTGAAGTAAGTCTCATTATGTACAACCTTTGCCCGAATCTAATCATTCACTTCTTGATAGTAGGGTTGAGACAATGACCATTTTTGGATAATTTATATATGGATTATCTAGAATCCCTAGAGGATAGGTTTATACAACCGAAGGAGAATATTCAAATAAGAAAAAAGGGAGATCAAGAAAGTGAAGACCCATCTTACAGTTATAGCTCCAATAAGATGTTCAGGCGTGAAGAAAGAAAATTTATCCTCTTTGAACACTAACATTGAAAAAATTATGCAAGAAACATGTAACTTGAAGCTCATCGAGCTCCTAGAACCATCATTTACACCCCTAGATGCAAATAAGTCAAAATAATGTACATGACAACAAAACCATGAGTACACCATGGAGAATTACAAGAAACTCCGAGACATCATAGAAGACCTTATCTAGATATGCTCTCTAGATTGGTTTATTCAAAGTTTTAAGTAAGATCGAGGGTATAGGTCAAAAAGATCTAGAAGTTTTTGTGGTCGAGGTTGTGGACATTTTGGTGGCTGAGGAAGAGGATGACATCATCCTTGGATAGATAGTCAACGTAGCTATTCATTCAGAAAATGCTTCAAATGATGAAGGGCAAGTAAAGAATATAATTAACACTATCATAGGCACATTTATAAGGGGTGAAAACATGAGTTTAGCTTGAAAATGACACTTGAGGACTGTGAACAATGTCAACATAGCTCGGTCACTCAAGTCGAGAACGTTGCCTCCAATCACCTTTATTGATGAATATTTCAACTCACTCAAGTAATATGATCCCGTGGTGATCACTATTTAATGTCATCATCCTCGGGTAAATAACCAACCAGTAACTATTCATCCAGAAAATGCTTTGAATGATGAAAGGAAAGTAAGAAGCATAATTAACACTACCTAAGGCATATATATTGGGGGTGAAAACATAAGTTTAGCTTGAAAACAACACTTGAGAACTGTGAACAATGCTCGGTCACTCAAGCTGAGAATGTTACCTCAAATCACCTTTATT